TTATTATTGCTGTGTACCGAGAAAGTCCACTTCACATTTGAAGGTGACCGCTTTCCACAAGTTGATGGTGTAGCTATGGATAGTCCATTAGGACCACTACTGGCTGATATTTATATGTCGTATATTGAAAATCTGGCTGGTGATCTCATCGCTAAAATTCCTCTTTACAAGAGATATGTTGATGACATCATAGTGATTTGTGAGATGCATGAGGATATGGCTTGTCTACTAAACAGACTTAATGCCGCACAAACACACGTTAGCCTGACATGTGAGAAAGAGAATAGTAATCAATTGCTATTCCTAGATATACTTCTCAGTCGACGAGATGGTTCAATAAGACGGTCAGTTTACAGAAAGCCTACATGGACAGGACATTACCTGAATTTCCACAGTTTTTCTCCAATCCAATACAAACGAGGTTTAGTGAAATGCCTGTTCAATAGGATCTATTGTATCAGTACACCAGATGTGATGGATGAAGACATCAAATTACTGAGCAAAGCACTTATAGAAAATGGATATCCGATGAGGTCAACTAGCACCAAAGCCAACTGTATACACGGTCCTTAAGAAAAATGTCCATATCACTCTACCATACAGAGGGGAGTTAAATAGTATCATTTTGAGACGAAGGCTGACATCAGCCATTAAGAAAACATATTACGCAGCAAATCTTACCATTGTGGAGAAAACAAAACATATGCTTCACCAAAAACCTAAACACTGCATCAGTGATTACGTCACATCCCATTAAGTTTACCAATTTACATATGTGCGTGTGGTCACACATATACATAGGGAGGAGTAATCGAGTCATGCAGTTGAGGGTGGGAGAATATGTGCCTAAATGGCTTCAAAAACAAATGGAGTGTGAAACAGTGATAAACGCTGGTGAGAGACGACCGTCTTCATCTATAGCTAAACATATCATAGAAACAAGTCATAAAGTTAATGTTCAAACAGCATTCAACGTCTTATACAGAAACAGTCAGGGATGTATTCTGAGATTTGCAAAGCCATAGCCATACACAAATTTAAACCACCTTACTGTGTACAAAAACAGTTTGTTATCACACTACACCTACCCCTGGGTAAACTTTGTTTTCTTACCTAGATTAGCATCAACTAGGTCACTTCCCCTCTGTTCTTATCTTTCTTAATTTTAATCCCCTATTGTGTTAATTGTTGTATTTGTCCCCTTCCCCCCCACCAGTCCTCGGTTTAATATATATTGACTTGATAAGTAAGTGTGTCATCAGACTTATTCGAAATGTGTATTGCACAAACACATCCACCACATTGTTCAGATAAACTTCATCTTCTCACTACGCTATCGAAATTCATAAAAAGGGACTAACTGTTTCAAATTTTATCTCTTCAAATCAATTTTTCCTTAAATGATCAACTTCTCTATTTATTCTGTTGTAATTATGTTGACTAAATGATTTTTGTAACAAAATAGGAAATTTTTATTGAATTCCATTTCAGTTTTATAGTTGAATCAACAAACTGTTGAAAGTAATTGATTAGGTTGCCTAGATGGTATAGATGATTTGTATACACTTTCTTTTTGTATCTATGTACAACTTGAAAAAATGAATTTGTTGAGACATCAAAATCTTGCCATTGATTTGTTTAAACTCAATTGGTATACTGAAAAAGTTTGATTATGAAAGATTGAAAATTGACAAGTTTTGATTTCACGATTATTTCGGGATAATATGCATAAAAGAAAGAAATGTCTTGATCATAAAAAGGAGAGTATGAAAGTGTTTCATAGTGACACCAACTATATACTACAATATAATAATAATAATTATTATTATTACTATCATTATTATTATTAGTCCCTTGGGTTCCTAGTGGAACATGGGGCTTCAGTAGCACGTCTCCATTCTACTCCTGTTCTCTGAGATCTTTTGAACCTGGTTCCACGACAGCCCAGAAGCTCTCATTTCCTCCTCTCACGACCTCCTCCATGTCATCCTCACCTCGGACGTCCAACTCGTCGCTTCCCATGGGGATTCCACTCGAGTAACTGGCCTGACGCGTGATGTCCTCAGTCGGCCTTCTCAGTGCATGCCCAATCCATCTACACTTCCTTCCAGTGCATGTTTGTTCAGCGATAGGTTCTTGGTTGGTTCGTTCCCAGAGTTCCTTGTTACTTATTCTTTCTGGCAATCCATCTGATCTTCAGTAACGAGCCAGCGTAGACAGTTGTTGATGAATATCTGTAGTTTATTGGAAATCCCTTTCGTAACGCGCCAAGTCTCTCAACCATACAGAAGCACTGACTTGACTAGGTTGGTGTTGAAAATCCGTATCTTGTTCCGCATGCTGAGTGGAGTGCAGAAGATCTCCACACTGGTTTCAGGCTAATGAAGGCCTATCTTGCTTTTCCAATTCTGACCTTGACATCCTCGTCCGTCCCGCCTGTAGTTGAAACAGTGCTTCCTAGATAATAATAATAATAATAGTAATAATAATAATAATAATAATAATAATAATAATAATAATAATAATGAATATTTAGACAGTATTGAGGCATCCTCACAAATGCCCATCTGGCAACTGATGTCTAGGAAATCGACTGAGCAATAAAACGAGAAATATTATAAGTACCAATGAATAACAACTGGCACATGTTGCACAAAAATTGGCTCTATCCTTCCTGTGACTTATTGGATGACATTTTTTTGTTTGAAGTGATTAGTATCGGGTTCAAATCTCAGTGGGAAAGACATCAGTCACTGTGGTGTATGTACATCCAGCTGAACAGTAACAAATAGAACTTCTGTACTATGTTCATGAGTATTTGTTCTCACACCCACCCGGTTTGTCCTACCGTTCATCACAACTTCTCATTGGAACTTTAGGAGTCTCTGAAATAGTCACCAATAACCACCTGAAGGTATGTACTCAACAGTGACATTCGGTGATGATCGCGCTATATCGTGAACTGACAGAAATAGGAAATATGGACCACTGAATTCCAACCCAATGGCACAACGGTAACTTGCTGACCACACAGTATGAAAGTCTTCGGTTGAATCCCTCGTGAAGTGATGTCATGGATGTGTACTGCTAAGGAGTACCATACTGGTCGGACGAAACAGCTTTCCAGTTCTTCCAGGTTTCCAATGTTTCTTCAACTGATGTCTATCTGAGATGAATAGCAACATGAAATCAACAAATCCCACGCATCCCTAAATTTTGTTATTATGTAATTACTACCATGTCGTAATGTGTGCGTCACTTTAGGAGACTAGAAGACTACGCATACAAGACTATTCCAAGTGATTCGTAACAGTTTTAAAGACAGATTTTCATGTTCTTCGGTTAAAAACCGCTATCTTCTTACTACTGAAATGAAACGCTAAATATTCTGAGTTACTACGCCTATGTAGGTCTTCATAGTGGGCCTTGGATGGTAGTTAGCTACGTTCGATAAAAATAAGAAAATTTAAAAACCGTGGTAAAACATTTGTTAACTGCTCTGTCTTAGATAATTGTCTTGTAAATATTAAAAACATATTACTGAGTTGCTTAGTCCTCAGTTCTGTCTGAATTTCTATTGATCAGTCTGAAACGTGTACAGCAGATGATATCACTTTTGTTAAGGTTATTGACGAGTGCTAGAAATCACGAAATCTTAATCCAGTGGGGCTGGCCGAGTGGCTTACTGCCAATTGGCTTCAATTATCTAACATTCATCGAAGGTAGCATTTTATGAAATAGTGGAGAATATTTTTAGCTCAGATGGATGATTTTCGTTGTATTGTGTTCTCTGAGCCGGGTTATTTAATCGTGGAGAAGCTTTCATCGTCTTTCTAGACAGTGACATCATCACGACTAACTTCAGTATGAAGTGAGCTGTCAACATCTTGGCGTCAGTAATTCAGTACCTTGCCATGATGAGGCGGTTGTGATTGGCTGTTTCCTTTGATTGTTATGTCATTGAATGATTGCATGGAGTTTCCTGTTGGCTGTTCCTCTGTTTGACCCCTGACCTTTCTGGCATTTGTCATTTTTCTTATTGGTTGATAGATTGGGTCTGTGTCTACACATCCATCTATTGATTTCTGACTGATTGATCTGATTGTCGAGCTTCTAGGAATTCGTCGATAATATTTTTGGTGTTTCCTCTGTCCATCCAAAATTTCTACATTGTCAAAATTCAATTCATGTCCATAGTTGTTATCCACGTGCAATGAGTGATGAGTGATGAAATGTTGTGTGTGACGTTCAACAGCTAATTAGTTTTCATGTAGACGAAGGCGAAGGTGGGCGACCATTTTGTCCAATGTACTGTTGACTACAATTATTGCAGTTGATTTTGTAAATGATATTCGGTTTGCCTTTTTTACTTGTTGCATCCTTTGATCTGCATAATAGTGTTTGGAAGGAATCTGTTGGTTGATGTGTGGCCGTACCAATTCTAAGTGGTCTCAGCAATCTTATTGTGATTTCTGATATATTCTTTGTGTACGATAGAATGAGGCGTTTGTTAATTTCTATCCACGACTTTGTAGTTAATAATGTACACGATAGGCTTCTTCTGATAAAGTTCTTCCTTAGAATAGACATCAAGTAATGTTCTTCATTTCTCCGTGAAGATGTCTTACTGAAGTGTGTTATAGCTCCTTTGAATACAGTTTGCATGCAACTAATTTTGTGCATTGTTGAGTTGTTGCTATTGTAACTGGGGATTTGATCAGTGTATGTTAGCTTCCTGTACACTTGGGTTGCCAGTTTTCCGGCATTTGTTCTACTGACTAAAATATCTAAGAATAATATTTTATGTTTACAGGAACATTTTAACAAGGGTTAATTAACTTTACCTGGTATGAAATGATCACTATTGCAGTATTTTTCTGATAATCTTCTTGGTTGTTAACAAAATGCTTGTATACATTATTCTTGTTTTATCTCCACAGATTACATAACTTCATTGTCTGAAATTTTCTCATCTATTTTTGGCGATTTTTTTTTTACAGGTGGATTAGAATATGAATTATTCAGTTCACGAACACCACCTGTATTTAGACCACCCAGTTTCACATCGACAGAAACAACAACAGCCACTTCTATTATGACCAAAAGACAGACATCTGTTTGCACAGCATCACCTACAATACATCGAGCTAGTCGACCTGCTCCACCACCACCACCACCACCACCACCTCATTCTTCTTCTTCGTCTACACTACCAGCATCGCTTTCATTACCTCCATTAGCACAACCATCTGTGGTGGATTCTAAACGAACAACATTACATCACTCTATACCAAATAACACAACTATAACAAGCATAAATCGACCATTGATCACACCCAATACACAAATGAATTTATCAAAAACTAAAATGGTAAGCATAGTAGTAATGTCCATTTAACTGTTTAAACGCTTGATAATTATCTACTTGCCTGCTTATTTGCGATGTATATGAAGTATACTATACTACACTGTACTATACTATACTATACTATTACCAATCGTCATCAAACTAATCTTCATTTTCTAGTTCATATCAATTGAAGTTAAATGAAGGCTTAGATTACCAATTGTTTGTCATTGACATCGTTTAACCCATCGTGAGGAAATAAATGGCTTTAAAGAATAAGAAAGTAACAGTGACGAAAAACCTTTTTCGACGACTACAGTCTTACAGTTGTATATGTAATCACTGAAAACAAATAACAGCTAAAAAGCAACAACAATAGTTTTGTGAACAGAGAAAAAATCACTTCTCTGACCATTATAAACCTAATGAGTGAATTATCATTAATATTAATCTAACTATTCCTTTGGGTTCATAGTGGAACATACGGGTTCAATCTCTTCTCTCCAGTCTTTTCAACCTGCCTCTCCTCGACATCAACCTCACACGCCAAACTCTTCGGTTCCCCCTTAAATTCTATTCGACGACCTGACTTGATGCGTGATGTCCCCAATCGGTCTTCTCAGAGTATGCTCAATCCAATCAATCCACCTCAACGTTCTTCTTCAACATATTTGTTGGTCAATAGCTTCTGGTTCGTTGGTTCATTGTCAGACCAGAGTTCCTTCTTGCTGATTCTTATTACTCTCGCCATTTGATCTCCGTCTTCGGTAGCTAGTGAGAGTAGGGGGCAGCTGTTGATGTATATCTGTGGTTTATTGGAAATGCTTTTCATAACGTGCCAAGTGTCTTAATCATCACACTGATTCGACAGACTCAGTGTTGAAAATCTGGATTTTGTTCTTTATACTGAGTGTAGTAGATCTCTACACTGATTTCAGGTTAATGAAGACCTGCCTTACTTATTCTTGAAAATAATCATCACTATCTTGTGGTATAGCCAATTTATTTGTTGATCAGTCTACAAGTTTTCAGGACCAGAGTAATTTACAGTTTAGTAGGTAACCGTGATGTCAGTGGTGTCTTTTTAGTAACGCTGGTAAAAGCACACCTTGAATACTATCAGAGCTGCTGAGAGAACGAATGTTTCATACATTAAGTTATATCAAAGAGACATAGGTGTAAAGGAAGTATTTTTACCACGCTATCATTTACCACACTTGTACGATCATATTTATAATCGTTAAAAGCAAGTAACAGCCCATTATCAGTCATTAGGATCGTATGCTTACTATACTTTTCAGGAGTGGAATAAAACTGTAGCTCCTGAAGACAAAACGAAATCACTTCTTTGGCTATACAATACGACTAGTGAATACCTTAAACTTTTCTCAACTGACATCATTGGAAGAACATTAGGAACCTGGTAGCACTAGACAGCTGTTTCGTCCTGCCGGTATGGTACTCTTTCGCTGTGAGCATCCATGACCCCACCCACCACGGGTCGAATTCATGGTCTTTGAGTTCTGTAGGCAGAACGAACTATTGAGCTACTGGCTCGGAATCCAATGGTCCATATTTCCAGTGTTTCTAAATTTTCAAAGTTCCTCCAAATAATCTCAGTCCATGATGAATACCAACTTGAAAAATCCCTACAAACTTTCAAATACAAAGAAAAGATCTCAGGTCCTGCAATGTCAATGATTTGACTATCCACAGATGACGAAAGTTTAAGAAGCAGACTGCTGTTTTCTTTTCTTTTTTTTATAACTAAGTCGGACAGTGTTTCATAGTACATTTACATTGCTTCACAAGAACAAGTCAATTGGGAGGCATCAATGGAGGAAGTCAAAAGTGTTATCCTGACAATAAAAAAAGCTGATCGAGAAAAATCCTCTTCTTAGATTAGTTACATGAAATATCTTCGTCAAAGATCTTAGAAAACGATATTTGAGAATTTCAACTTGCATATTTTCTTAGATTTCAGTCTCATTTTTGTCTTTAAATACATTATATACACTCGTTGCGAAAACGGAACTTTAAGTGGATGAAGAGAAGACAGAGGTGATGAAGATACGCAACCACCATCAACAATGAGTGATGTCTTTCCCACTGAGATTTGAACCCGATACTAATCACTTCAAACAACAAAGTGTTATCCAATAAGCCACACGAAGGATAGAGCCAATTTTTGTGCAACATGTGCCAGTTGTTATTCGTTGGTACTTATAATATTTCTCGTTTTATTGCTCAGTCGATTTCCTAGACATCAGTTGCCAGATGAGCACTTGTGAGGATGCCTCAATACTGTCTAAATATTCATTATTATTATATTGTAGTACATAGTTGTTGTCACTATGAAACACTTTCATACTCTCCTTATGATCAAATTGCAACGCTACGCTACGCATCATCATAGAACAGACCATAGAATGCCAGTCAACTCAACTCTCTACCTCAACTTCATCGACTTTGAAAAAACCTTCGATCAAGTCGTCGACGGAGAAGTAACTTGGCAACTGCTTCAACACTATGGCTTCAGTCCCACAAAATACTATCAACCTTATTCAACACCAGCTATATGCTATATGATGATGCCACATGCCAAGTGATTCACAATGGAATGCTCAGTGATACCTTTGAAGTGAAGTGAAGACAAGTTGACAGGTAAGACAAGGCTGCCGCCTTCTATCACCAATGATATTCCTGATTGTGGTGGACTAGATCATACAAGAAACTGTGAAGAGCTGTGAGAAGATGGGGATAGGCTGGCTGTTCAACCGATGAAAACACCCTATGAGATTTGCATTTCACCAAGAAGATCTATGTCTAACGTCACGATGGCTCGAAGATGTACAGGTGAAAACTCACAAGTTGTCAAAATATCCAGAGCAGCGAAGGCGGGACATGCTTCAGGTGAATGTAGAGAAGACAGGGGTGATGAGGATACCAAACCAACAACAACAACAATGAGCACAATCACCATCAACAGGAGATATCTAAAGGAAGTGATCTCTTTCACCTACCTACCGAGGCAGCATCGTTTTAACTACAGGTGGCGGCACAGGCGAGGACATCAAAGCCAGGATTGGAAAGTCAGCAAGACAAACCTCCATTAATCTGAAGTCAGTGTGGAGATCCACTGTACTGTACTGCACTACACTCAGCATAAACATGAACATGATTCGGATTTCCAACACTATGTCAATCAAGTAAGTCATTGCTTCTATGCGATGGTTGAGAGATTTGGTGCATTACGAGAATCATTTTCAACAAACTGCACATATACATGAACTGCTGCCGCCTACGCTCACTCGATACTGATGATAGAGATCAGATGGATGGCAAAGAGAATAAGTGACAGTAAACTCTGGCATGGCAACGAACCAACCAACGAAACAGAAGCTATCGCCCAACAAATATGCAGAATAAGAAAGTGAAGATGGATTATACTGGACGTACACTGAGAAGACCATTTGGCGACATCATGTGGCAGGCCAGGTGAGGCTGTCGAGTGGAAGGCGAATGGGAAACGACTAGGTGGGCGTCGGAGGCGAGGATGACATGGAGGAGATGGTTTGAGGCAGAAATAAAAGGTTGTGGGCAGCCGTGGAGCCAGGTTGAACAGACTGTAGAGGAGAGAGTGAAATGGTGATGTGCGGCTTAAGCCCTACATTTCACTGGGAACCCGAAGGACAAATAAAAACAATGAAGTGTCACGTGATCAATATTTCTATTTTCTGTACACACTAGACACTATCTAAATCTGCCCTCACTCGTCTTAACTTTCATGCCTATGGGTTATCGACCGAATGAAACGGAACGAGATACCCTTAACCTTCTTTCTGTCTGATGATTCTGTTTCTCCCTCTTATAAATCTCAAGAATTTATCCACAACATATAATGAATGAGGCTACCATTGGGCGTATGAATTTTATTGATGTATGTATTTCTGACATGTACTAACTACTTAATGTTTCATTTGAGGAACATGTCTGTGCATAAACACATTTAGAGTTAGTAGACATCTGCATTGTCACTTCCACTGAAGGTGTAACTCTATTACACGTAGATGGATTGAACGAAATCAACGTAGAGCCTTACATATGAGTGCACTAATCCAGATTACCATGCATCGCAGTAGCATATAAAGATGAACTGGTTAGGAGGGGAATGTTACTGAAGTTTTCTTCTACTCTACATAAGCCATTTGGTCGGAATCCAATGGTCCATACTTCGTATTTTCATCCAATGTCCTCGTTGAGTAACTGGATATGGTTCACTTCACTGGTCACGACTTTTCGTTAGAACTTCGGGAATCACCTCTCCAAGTTAGTTACGGATGAGGACTAGTTTAATTCATTATGAAAATTTCTGTGGGTTTATTTATCTCAGATTGATATTCATCATGAGAACAGTTACTCAACGATGGTATTGCATGGAGGTCGCGCTAAATCGGGAACTGACAGAAGCCATAAATATGGACCACTGGATACCAACCCAGTTGCTGAATGGTAACATACTGACCGCAAAATCTGAATGTCTCAGGCTTGAGCCATGATAAGATGAAGTCATGGGTGCTCACTTATGAGGAATCCTATACAATATATGATTTACATCATCGAGATTGTATATATAATTCATTACCCCTAAAATGTTACTCATAACTCATATAAGTAGTATCCATAGAGAGCATAAAAAGTATCTAAACACGATAAATAGATAATTTCATTTCACATGAATTGGTAAATTGATATAACTGCCATGAGTGTATTACAACTCATCTATGAATAAATAAGTAAATAAACCTTTACATCAATATATTTTTGAAAATAAAATTTGAATGACAACGCGTAAATAAACAATTACCATTATCGTTTCTTATTATTCCCCTAGTAAACTAATTGACTGGATAATTGTAATTCAATACTGGTGAAATTGAATTTTACTCATACAGCTGAACTATAGTAAATCGTCAACTTCAATTGTATGGAAGAGTTCAGTTATCTTTGTGTAATAATAGCCA